ACACACACACACCCCACACACACACACCCCACACACACACACCCCACACACACACACCCCACACACACACACACACACCCCACACACACCCACCCCACACACACCCACCCCACACACACACCACACACACCCCACACACACCCACCCCACACACACACCACACACACCCCACACACACACCCCACACACACACCCCACACACACCCCACACACACCCCACACACACCCCACACACACCCCACACACACCCCACACACACCCCACACACACCCCCCACACACCACACACACACACACAGACACACACAGACACACAGAGACACACACACACACACACACACACACACGCGCGCGCACATACCAGTATGCCCTGAGACAAGTTATGTTGATCGTGGCTCAAGTCAATCATAAAGGGAGAGACCATGAGAGGACCAAACAGAACATTATTGGGAACTGTGTGTGCCAGTTTGTGCTTTTTGGGCGAGGGGAGTTGTTCAATGCCAATAAGCCTTCTCTGACCATCGCACAGCTTTACTTATTGAGTCTCCAGTGGAGAGCATGTGTAAGCACTAGTCAAATATAGTTCTGGTTTGAGCAGCAGTCATACTTTCGGAAGCAACATCAGGCCCGGCATGTTCAGATAGGAGAACCTTCCTTGCAAGGGTCTTGGGGAAGAGCCGCTGGCCCCATCGCAAGATACTCGCCTGCAGAATGAACAATGAACCAACAAAACCATCATATTCAGAGGCATCTCCTTTTGGTAGGCCCCATTGGTTTGGTCACAAGTAGGAAGATGGTCACACTTTGCAGTACCCCCGGGCAAGTGAGCAGCGCCCAAAACCCAATGACCATAGGTGGCTCTACTACCTGGAAACATAGGAGTTTGAGTGAGGAACCTTTAAAACCATGTTGGTATGACCAAAAGTCACTGGGTTTTGGGCGCTCAAGTTAACATGGAGCTCTTTTTCGGCAAAAACTCAGGCCAGGCCTCTGGAGCAACCAGGCGCGGGGTACAGGTGCCACAGGGATGGTCATGGACCCCTCAAAGATTTAGACGGCCGAAATAATTGTTCCAAATCAGGGATTCGTGACCATGTTCACGTAGAGCGTATTGGTTTGGGGAGGACAAGGGGGGACAATAAAGACTCGTGACAAAAAAGGGTTCGGTCTGGTTCTTTGTTTGACTCTCCCCGATGCTGCAAAACGGCTAAGATGCACCAAAATGGTCGCTTGCCGGCTCTCGCCCTTCCCACAAGCATGGCATCTTTGGCAGGAGGCCTCTTCAGATTCTACATTTTTGTTGGCCGGCAGTGAGTGGTGATCCAAGTCCAAACGGTTGGAAAGGACAGCGCAAAGCAGAGCACTATGCGCCCACGAAGCAAGCTGCGCAAGCACATGTCAAGAATCTCAGCATCTGCATGGCAAAAACAGGCTTAACCCAAGAATGGGTGGTTTCCCCGAGGCTTCCCTTTCGTACAACATGAAGGGTATGCTCAAGAAATGACATTCTTTTTCATCGAAGCTTTCCAAAAGGGGCCCTCTGGTGGGATGCACAACAACATTGAGAGGAACACACACACGCACACACACACACAGACACACCTTCTACACGCCACCCTCTACACGATTCGCAAACCAACAGCATCGCCCACAAGACCTAAAGCCGGCAAGCCATGTACCCCAATGACCAACAGCCTTTGTTGGTGGTCCATTTGCCTCTAAGCACCTTGGGCCTCGTAGAGACGTTGAGGCGACTTCAGCTTCCAGGAGCCCAGCGGCGGCGCCCGGACGGAACTCGCACAGCCCAAAGCCCCGCAGGTCAAAGGGCAGAGCCCGGCAACGGGTTTGAAGGGAAGGGCCCTTTGATCCATCGGCCGGTTACTCTTTTTTTGTTTTTGAGACAATCTGGTGGTTGGGCACCTGAAGTGAAGTGTCACAAGACCCAGAGGTAAGACTACTGTAAGTTCTACAAAAAGGACCTGTTGTATAACTTCAACATTTGTGGTGGGGTCGAACCTCCAGGATTTTCGACGATCACAGATGTCCAGAAGATGCTCTCAACCGACGCTCTGGCCAATTCCATGGGAAGAGACGTCCTGGTTTTCCGAGGCAAGCCTGCTTTTCAGCACGGTGGCCATGGCAATCAGGACGGATGCCAAGAAATTGTGTTTGGAGTCAATGATTTTTCAGCGGCGAAAGAGGTTTTCCAAGAGGCCCTTGGGCCGTGGAAGTGGACTCGTGCAGGACATGCTGACAGAGATCCAGCATTTGCGGCAGATGCTTGCTGATGCCAACGAGGAGAAAGCCATTCAGGCGGATGTTGGGTTCGCTGGGAAATGCATAAAACATGTTTCTCAAGTTTTTGGCTCATTGGACTGGCTGACTAACATCCTTGAACGTTGCAGGATTGCGCTCTGTGGTGGTCCCCGTGCAACTTGAGGTAGACGTGGGTGGCATCTCGTTTTTTCAGGTACCCCGCTTCGGTTGATTTAAATAGAGACCAACAGAAAGCTAGACATGCTGGGTGTCTCCACATTTTGAGACAAACCCCATGTCAATGTGTTTTTCACTGCTCTGTTTGTCGTGCCAGGTCGCCATCGTGCGCGACGAGGTTGTTGAAAAGCAGCAACAGGTGGCGGAGTTGACTCGTCAAAAGAACGAGATGGAGGTCCGCCTGGCGTTGGGACGCGCACGTCTTGTTTTGCGAATGGGGGTTGATCAATATTCCGATTTAGGGCCCCCAAATGAGCCTGGGTAGCTTGTCCCATGTGGTGCAAGTGATTGTTTTTGGTGGTTTCCCTAATGGTCACCCCCATGTAAAGGACCGTATCAACCCCCAAATGTTCACCCTTGATGGGATGGCGTGTTCCTGCACACAGTGATGGATCTCCGAAATGGGACCCCTGATCAGAATCATCCAGGAGTTCACCAGATAGCCGGTTGTGTGGTTTTGCCTTACTGGTGCTTCTTGTGGTTGACAAGCCACAGAGTTGGGGCAAAAGTCAGACTGGGCGCGACTGAAAATAGGGGAACCTCCAAACGACCCCAACATTGGCATCCTCGACAAAGGTATGCCCTGGCTGACGCGTCTTTCGGAAAGACATGGGAGATGTCTTAAACAAGAACATCAGAAACGCGGGGGGCGCTCTTCCTGGCTGCACTGCGCCATGTGCCTTGTCCAAGAGACCCGGTCGCTTGGTCATGGATTCCTGAACAGAGATATACAGGCCCCTTGATTCCCTTGGTCATCGCTTTTGTTTTGCGTTTTGCTCTCCAAGAGAGGTTTTGAAATCTCTGATCCACCTCGTTTCTTCTTAACAGTCTTGACATTTTCTGCTGGTGGAGAAGTAACTCAGTTCGTCTCCTCCATCCCGTTGATGCTTCAATTTAAAATGTACAGGGATTCACTCCAGTCACCATCCCCTTTCTTGAAGAATACCTAAAACGTGCATCGACATGAATCTTTGCGCGATTCGTATCAAGTCCGACTTGCATCGCCAGGCCATGCTCAGAGAAGCACGGGCGAAGCTCGACTCCTGTGAGGCTCCTTCTCAACTCCTGTAAGGGGTCTCACCGTTTCTTTTGGGTGTGGCTTTGTCTAAACCACCACGTGGCCTTGACCTTGAAGCAGAACTTTGCTTGCGCTTTTGAGGCGATGCACAGCAGCACGGAGCTCACACCCACAAACGCAAACAGCAACGACTTTTCATTTTGTCTGACTTGTTCCTATCGTTGGGTATTCGTAGCATGCATGCACAATGTGAAACGATTCTTTCATTGGAAGATCAGGCTGTTTCTGGCTTTGTCTGAACTGGATGCTTTATGTGTGTGTCTCTGTCTGCGTGTGTGTCTGTGCGTGTCGCGAATTACATGAAATCAACGATGAAGAGAGGAGCTTTTTGGGGTTTGACAATGTATCACAATGCCACAATTAAATCCTTCATTTGCATCCCCGTACCAAGCTTGACGGGAGAACTTGGTGATTGAAAGTAGCCAAGCAGCTGTTGCCGTAGTTGGTGACTGGCAGTGGACACCTGAATAGCTAGTTTGGGGAGGACAGCCCGACAGCTCCCCCCCCCCGCAGGACAAGGAGGCCACAGTGAAAGTGGACCAAGTAGAGGCGGGCTGCAGGGGCGTTTCTCGCATTCACGACGAAGCGCACATCCACAGATTTTGCCTCTAGTCACAGCATGTGCTACACGATGTCTCTTAGGACGGCTCATTTCTGGAAGCCCTTGAGACAGGGCAAAGGATGAGCTTTGAAGAAGTTGACCAAAACTGTTGTCCTCCCTGAATCCGTCCTCACGTGGCAGACTGTTGCCAAATTTGGACCGTGCAACCAATGATGAGGGCAGCCCGGCCCTGTCCTTCGGGTGCGTATGTGCTGAATTTGCTCCCCCCGAAAACAAAAAGAACAAAACAAAGAAAAGAGAGTGCCTTTCTTTTGGTTTCCCTTTCAACCAACCTCCAAAGGGTACCGAGCCTCAACAAAACGCACACACACACACACCCACCAGGTGCCCCTTTCGGCAACCCGGTTGTTCGCGCGAGGCAGCCTGTCAGGCAGAGCGCCTGGAGGCGACTCCGAGCGAGTGCGGCTTCAAAATGGGAACCTTTCGATTGGATTTGAGCTGAGTTGGTCCAAAAACGACCGGATCTGACCTTCCGGTTTTCCCCTAGGTCCATGATTTGTCAAGGTCTCACAAGGTGAACCCTGGATTTTCCAGGTCCTTTGGGAAAGTGAGGAGAGAGAGAGAGAGAGCTGCAAAGGTGTGTAATTGGAAACTCATTTTTATTTGATTTGGCAGAACACCAACTCAGTTGTTGGGTTCGCCCAGTTTGGTTTATGGGTTTGCTGTTCAGCAAGGTGCCGGCCAACCAGGACCCATAGGATTCATTGAGCCGCATGAAGGCCTCTCAACTCAAAGGTAGCATCTCTTGAGGGAAAGCTTGGATCCCTTGACTTTCCTTTTTGGGACCCCCCCAAAGTGGTGATCCTTTCAATGGAACCCACCTGTAAAGTGCAACTTCTGATAGGAAATCCAGGGACACCTGTAAAGAGAGAGAGAGAGAGAGAGAGACACACAAAAAGGAAGGGGAGCAGGTTGCAAACCTGTTGACATCAGGCAGCCGTTTCCAAAGATGGGGAGCAAAGAATGGTGGGGTTTTGGCAAGCCACCAATCTTCCCTCTTCTCTCTCTCTGTCACATTGGCACTACTTGGTGTGGGCAGATTTGACACACGTCCCCAAGCTAAATGGATTTTGTATAGATGCTTTGTTGGGCTGAATCCTAAGACAGGCTTCGAGTAGAGCTATTTCTCACACTAGTGTCGCAGGCTGAAAACCACGCCGAGAAAGTTGATAAAGCAGAGGCTCGTGGCGGTCGTCTCTCAACTTGTCAATGTCATTTGAAGTTCGGGCAAATTCCAGCAGTTGGTGCTCAATTTGGCAGCTATAAAGGGCTCTCTAGCTTATTCCACGAGGAACACGGCATTCATTTCCCATGTCCATTGAGCAGTTTCAGGACTTTAGGTCGCCTTTGGTGTTTGGGCTAGCAGGCAAATCATCTGTGGGACTTTGGTTTGTTTTGTTGTGAAATACGGGGCCCCGCACGCAATCCCAACAAAGCAAGTTGAATCCGATGTTGTCTGCCAACTATAAACTGACCCAAAACCTTTCAGTTTTGATTGCGTGCCACATACTCAGGCTTTCCTCTTGAGTTTTGCATTCTTTCTTTTTCCTCCTTGAACATTTTGGGCATCCACGATATCCCAGGACCTTTGAAACAGATCCTCTGAGCTGCACGCTGATCTACATTCGCGCCCCAGTTGCCACATTTGATTGCTAGGTGTTGGTGGGAGTGGTTATCAAGCTTCCAAGCCTTGGCATTTTCCGGCCTGTCATGATAAAAGCATTCCGTGACTCACTCGAGGATCATCTAGTTTGATTCGCCTGTTTTGACTGAGTGGGCGATCTTATCCTTCGATATACCAAGCACAGATCAATGGAAGAATGGAAGGTTGAGCTATCCAGGCCAATGCATCTTGACTCTGTCACCTGTATCTGCCATGGATGAACATTTTGTCCTGGGACTGACCCGCACGTTTAGCTAGGCCTTGTCCCAAAGGGCAGCTGCTAAACCTAGTCAACATTGCAGGGATTGACCAGCTCCTTCCTTTCTAGTGTAACAGGTATTTCAAGCAACATGGTCTACCAACCTCCCAGTGAATGTTTGTGGTTTCGCCTAAAGGTCTTTGGTGGGATCGGGCTGAGACCCGGGCTGGCCTGTCGAGGCGGAGCAGCTTGCAGCCCGCCTTGCGGAGGCCGAGGCAAAGCTCGAGGCGGGTGACACCCAGTCCCTTCTCGAAGTACTTCTTGAAGTAGTTGATATTCCAGGTAGTCTCCTGTCGGAAGGGTAGGTGATACCTAACGAATGCCGGAACAGAATCCCCTCTGGTAGAGCGGTCTTCCAAAGGTCTGGAGCACTTGCGTGTTTGTTGTTGGGCGAGAGAGAGAGAGAGAGAGATAATGGTGTTTTTTCATCTAGATGGCAACCCACAAGAAAAACATTTAATGCACAAGGTCAATTGGAAGTCAAACACATGTTACTGTAGCAAGGCGTGCGTTGTTGGCAAAACTCCAGACTTTCGCAAGCACCGTTTTCTGTTTGCTTTGCCTTTCCGACTCGAGGCTGCCCAAGTCCAGCTGGCGGCGATGCCGGCGCCGGCGCCCGCAGAGCTGCCGGCTGTCAGCTCGGAGACTCAGCGGGCACTGAATTGAAGGAGGCCAACGATGCGCCAGGGGGAAACCAACATGAGGATGTTGAAACAATGTTGTTTCAAGCCGTGTTTCAAACAGGTTTGCCCAACCCCGAGTTGCATCAAGGGGCTTTGGTTTTCGACCTCTCACCCACAGGTATCCTTTCTCAGGGTCTGGGTGGGTCCCTCTCTTGTTGCAGCTTGATTCACCCACATAAGTTGCAGGGGTTGGACTTCTCCGATCTTTTGACCCTTGCTCACTACGTGCGGTTTGCCTGCATTCCGAAGTCAGATGGGAAAGATGCTAGTGCGAGCTGTCTGTTTCGTACTCGGGAACCGAAATTCGAAGAGGCTTCAAAGCTGAACTTGTGGGGACGGTCAAAGCCACATCTTACATATTCACCCCTTCAAAGTCTAGCCAAACGCAAAGCTGAAAATCAGCTGAGTCTGCAGGCAAATCTATCGCATTCAGAAATATAGGAGGCGATGACTAAATCACCCAGGCCGTGCCCACAACGAATGCCATTCTTTGCCCCTTCGGTGATGGCTCTGATTGACAGCTAGTAATCACTCATTTGAGGCGCCTTTAAGGGACATTCTGTTGGGAGCCCTGCCCTCAACATATGCCCTGGCCACAGTTTCTTTTTCGGCTGCGCAGGACCTTTATGTCCTTTTCTCTTATCCTGTAGTATCCAGCCGGACGGTTTTATTAACAAACACTGTTTCAGCTTGTTTGTGACTCATTCGTTGGTGTTTTCGGATCAGTTCAGAAGGATAGACCGCATCCGTCTTGATGCAGTCAAAAAGCCAGCGGCCTGAGTCGGCCTGAGGCTCCGGTGATGCTCCAGAAGCGCTTAGAGCCGCCAGGGGCCCATACTTCAATTGGAGCTTTGACGCTTCAATTGGAGCTTTGACGCATGTTGGCCTTGCAGTATGTTTGTGGCTGTTGGATCATGCTGTGTCAGGGCATGCACTTTTGCAATGTGGTTGGGGTGGGGGTCGTCTTTGCACATTGAGCTGCCTGAGCTGTGCATCATAGTCTTCTACCGACAAGACCGTCGTGCGCAAACGTCGGTCGGACCTGTCGCCATGGCAACGTCATGTTTGAGCGAGACTTTTCTTCGCAGCCCAAAGCGTCATGGTCTTTTTCTCGGCCCGATGCTTCGGGAGGCGTCCGAGCTCTGGGAGCTTTGCAGCCGCACCTGCCGCACCTTGGGGCTGGAAGGCGGAGTCGTGAGCTGTGAGTCCCAGACTTCTCTAGGAGATTTGAAGCCCCAGCAATGTGCGTCGCTGCGTTATGGAGTATCAGGATAGGTGATGGCCCATGGATTCTTTTGACAATTCAGAACCATTGCTGTTGTATGCTTTTGACAGTTTCTGGGGTCTCCACACCTCGAGGCGAACTCTGGTCGAAAGGCCGTGGCACCAGTTGCAGGTTTGGTTTCCAACCCGACACGGGGCAGCGAGGAGATTTGTTTGTCAGGCGAGGCCTCCGAGACGGCGGCCTCGACGGCCTCCGACTCCCTGCAGGCGGGCTGCCACCTTTCATCCAATTAGTTCGGAGTTGCTGAATGAACCAAGATCCCTCCCAAGTCTACGTGCCAAAGGTTTGGAATCCGTTTGGGGGGAATCTCTTCAATCCATCCGACCCGTCCGCTGGGCCGCGCTTTTGACTTCCATTTGCCCCTTCCGAGCCTGCCGGGACGCCTTGTGCATCATGGGCCTTTCTGCGGTTTCCTTGATGCTTTGCTTCAACGCAAATCAATTGCTTCACTTTCAAGCTTCTCTTCAAGCAATTGTTTCTTGTTTGTGTTGTCCTTGAACAGTTGATCCCAATCTTTGAAGCGGCAAGCAAGCTGGCTTTCTTTCTGCGCGACTGCGCGACTGCGCATTCTCAGAAAGGTTTCCGGTTTCCCCCTTTCCCCTTTGCTCCGTTCTCCACTTACAGGAAAGCAAGGGGGGCGTCCCGGCGTCTCGCTTCCTTTTCCCAGGCGGAGCTGCAGCGGTGCCGCGAGCGGGCCGCCACGGCGGCCAGCGCCGCGGAGCAGGCGGCGGCGGAGAGGAGGCGGACGCCCGGCGCCGCTTCGCCTTTTTTTTGGTTCTTTTTTTTTCCCATACGCTTTCAACCCTTTCAACTTGTTCAACCCTTTAAACCAAGGAGTGAACCACTTTTTGCAGGAAGTCTGGTCAAGGTTGCCTGCTTGTTTTAGTTGCGCCCTTCTTGGATACCCATATTTTTCGAGTCGTGATTGTGATGGCGTACCTGCTTCGAGGGAATGTGGGTTTGTGTGGTTCCGCCCTTTCCCGGTCGGGTGGTTCTCAAAAGGGTGCAAATCCTCGGGGTTGGTTCCTTTTGGCTTCTATTTTGAACCGTACCTGAAGGGGGTCTACACTTCTGAACGCTCGTTTCAAAAGGAAAAGAACCAAGCACCTGCAAGGGTCCCAATTTTTCAGATGGTTGGATTCAAGAAGGGGCCCCCTCCTTTTGAGCCACAGGTTCCGCTGCAGATTTTCCCGCATTTTTTGCGAAGGACGAGCGGAGCTTGGATTTGCGAAGGACATCGGTTGAGAGATTGAATGGGCCATTTCCGCGCATTGGGATAGATGCAACCCTATGAATGTTACGAAAAAAAAAAAAAAAAAAAAACCACCTGCGAAGAGGATTTTGTCCATCTACGGTATCAGGAAGATATCGCTTACCAAAGCTCCCCGATTCCCTCTCGATTGTTTCGACGCGTGTCGCTGGCAGGCAGCTGACGGCAAAGTTGGAGGAGCTCGAGCGAAGACCAGCGGCCTCACCGCAGGACGGTGGCCTCAAACAGCGTCATCTTGCATTTTAAGGTTTATTCGATCGACGCAATTATCATGAGCTCACCTGGGCTCCTCGTAAGAGACCAAGTGATGATTTTCAGATTGCCCGTCTCTTGGTGTAGGATTTGATAGTACAAACATAGTTTAGAATGCTAATGAGCCTCGAGCTGATATCCTTGACAACTGCCACGAGGTTCTGTCAATTTGCCGGAATTCTGCTGTCAATTTGGGAGGGATATGGGGACTCACTCGATTTCCCAACAAAATCAGGCGCTTACAGGAAGCTGTCACATATTCATTTGATCACTTGTGCTTGCCTTTTCAGACCCTCCCCCCCAAAATCTTCTAAGGGTCACATTCCAAGAATAGAAGCCCCTCGCCGTGGCTACCACGTTTCTCTTGCTCGGCTCCAGGAAGCTCAAGCTGCCAAGGCATCCGGCGATGCAAGTTGGGACACTGGTTTTAAGGCTTACAGGACTTTTTCGTCACTTTGACGCAACGTGGTTGGGATGCCAGGATGCTCTTTGCAGTGAGACACAGATCGGTTTGGGTAGCAGCGGCTGGCAGGCTTTGCGGGACGTCCGCCTGCATGCAGAGCAACAGCTCGCGTGGGTTCTGCAGCGGATGAGTGTAAGTCACAATCATCAGGCAGGGTGGGCGAAGGAATCGCCTTGCAAATAGCAGAGTGCTGAATGGGTCCAAGCTTTTGCTGCTCTCAAGATCCGATCGGACAAACGAGTTTCCGCACCAGCATTGGGTTCTTTTATGGTGGATTTATCATTGGTGAGTTTCTGGTTTGACCGTGGCTGAGCCAGAGACAATTCCGGCCGGTGTTCACACGTGAAGGTCGTGCGCATCACAAAGAAATTCATGAAAGGTGGCACAGGCCCTCCAGCCAAGGGGTTGAGGTGTTCCGGGACCTTCCAAGCCCCCCATGAGGCCAGAACAGCAGCAGGAACCTATCCCTTGCATTTCGCACATGCATGTTGCAGCTGGATCTCATGTTTCCGGCTCAATCTGGTTGGAGCCCGCCTTTGGGTTTTCCTTTCCCTTGTTCACCCCAACGAAGCCTACCGACTCCAAGAGAGGGCACAGCCCTTTTTTTTCCGGTGCTTTGCAGGCCGAGTTGCAGAAGCTCGGTTCCGTGAGCGCCTGATTCGGTTGTAAGTCGCCTGAATTCGATCGGGGCCGGGCCCTTCTGCCCGGCCCGGGGGTTGATCTGAGATCATTGGGATCGAAGGTCCCCTGAACTTCCCCGAGGCTTTAGGGTGCATTCCCCCTTTCTGTACATTATTCACATATGGATATGTATATAGTATAGTTCATGTACATATATATATATATATATACACACATATACATACACATGAATCCTTCTGGGATACCGTGGCCGGGCCCGGCTTGATCCTGATTGCCCATGGGGGAAAGAAGGAGATCAACCCCCACCCAACTTTTTGGGCCGTCACTGTCAGGCGCCTCTCTACGCCTCTGAAGGCCAAAAAAGCAAATATGACGCCACAAAGGCGCGAGAAGTTCGCTCAATTTGCAAAGGGCCTGTTCTATTGTGTTGGCACCAGCCTGTGCAAGAGGGGCAGTGAGCGAAGCTGCCCAAGTCAAGTCAAACAAACACAACGAGCACGAACGCTGATGCCAGAGCAAAGAATGGATGCAACATCCCAGTCGGCTATTTTTGTTTTACAAGTATTGTGCAAGCGTCACCAAAGGTGTCCTTTTGGGAAAATTTGGTGGCCATGGTAGATTTGAAACAACCAGGTCAAGCAGGGCCATCTATTTTCGACGAAAACTGCAAAAAAGGACACCCATGTTGGCCTGACCTATTCACCATGATTTGCTGAGGGCTAAACAATGCATTCGTTCAGCCTTTCGCGGCCTGCTACATTTCTCACACGAGGATCAAAGATACAGTCACAGGGTTTTGCACTTGCAAGACCAAGGTTGCAGACGACACCAACAAGTTCAAATGCCTAACTTTGGGCAGAAGTTGATGCTTACAATGTGGCATGCTCAGGAATCCTCTGCCAACAGAGGGCCAAGAGGCTAAACATCAGGTCGTCCGTTGCCCAGCGCCGCTCGTTTTTTCGTCGGTGTCCTCGCACACCGCAGCCGATGTCGATTTTGACGTCGGAGGGAAAATACGGAAAAAGTACGGTACAGGTGGGCCAAAGCACCGGCCACAGCTTGGGCCCAGGGCGGGATCTTGCCAGGCTCGAGTAGAGGGCTGGAGTAAACTGCCTTTTGAGATGTATGTTTTCGAGGAAGTTTTCGTTGAACTTGCTAAGAGCGTAGTGGTGGTATGCTATATGTCGGCAACGTCAGCCAAAATGGCAAGGGGCCATCGTGTGCTTTGTATTGCTGCAAAAACACTCCCACAGCCTGTTCGTGACCAGAAGGTGGAGGTGTGGTTGTTGGTTGCCTGGTAGGTTGGTTGCCTGGTTGGTCGTGTGCCTGGTGGGTGGGCGGGCGGGCGGGCGGGCGGGCGGGTGGGTGGGTGGGTGGGGAGGTGGGTTGCTGGGTTGCTGGGTTGGTGGGTTGGTGGGTTGCTGGGTTGGTGGGTAGGTGGGTAGGTGGGTTGGTGGGTAGGTGGGCCTTTTGGGGCTCCAAACAAATGCGGTGGGGGGGGGGGGAGGGGGGCGTGGGGGTTCTTATCCTATAGGAAGCATCTCGAAGGTTCTCAAGACAGCAAAAGCATCCTGCCCGCAAGATCCTGCCCGAGGCCCACGGTTTCACCCCGGCGCAAAGGCTGGACAGCTAGGCGACAGTACCCAGAGTGTAGCTTTCGATGTCTGTGGGAGAAATGAAGGACATTCGGACCCCAAACAAAGGAGGCCAGGTCCTTGATTTTCCTAAGGTCGGAAGGTAGGCTCTGGCGGCATCCTTCTGGAGGAATTTCAGAGAGCCGACTCGCGAAGGAAAGGACCGGGTGCATGTCTTAGGCTCAGGCTTGAGAGCGACGCACAAAGCAATACAACCGCCTCCAAGACCGCAAGCCAAAAACATGAACGAGAAGGAACAGTGCTTTCCAGCCCGGCTGAGAGAGACAGATAGAGAGAGAGAGAGAGAGAGAGCGAGAGAGAAAAGTCGGGAAGTATTCAACCCGTTCAAACCTGCTGACCGCTGTAAGCATTCCTTTTGTAGTCGCAATGAGGCCTGCAGTAGCGTACAACACATGCAACAAGCAGTGTAGTTGCTGTATTTTGACGCGGCCCCTGGGTGTGTAGCCCCAATTGAAGTGGTTACACACCGTAATAATTTTGGGCTGTAGTTTGCCAGAAGGATGGGATGTACAGCTCTGCTGGCAGTTCTTCAACTTTCATGGCTATTGGACAAACAAACAGATTCGCACTTAAATCCAAAGATGGACTTCGTTAATCCTTGATGTATGATTTCACACCCAGATCAAGTTGGGCTTCACGATTCCGCATGCTCCCATTGCTCAAGTCGGTAGTTGTGCTACCTTTGGGAGATCTGTAGTCGAAACTCCTGAGTCTCATTGTTGTAGTAGAGATGTGGATCTCACCAGATCCCCATAGTCAGCTGGGACACTGATCTTGTAATGAGCCAGTAATTCGTGACTCTTGGTTGTTGATGATCGTAGTGACCAAGCGCATGCCGTAGTGGGTCGCTGCTTTGCTCAGTAGTGTGTACGCCATGCGATGTACTTCCTCTGGATTCTGTAGCGCGGTGATGTTGTTGGCGATGGCAAGCAGTTCGTCAATGTTGATCACAGTGTGGTAGTTCCACATGTAGCCCTGGGCCAAGGTCAATGTAGGCGACACCATGGTGAGGTTGCAGTTGATGCAGTAAATTGCTTGAGGGTCAAGCTGTAGTTGGTTGGGAGATGGTGGTGAGCAGCTATGATCCATGCAGTCCCTCATGAAGTCCTGAAGCAGTGGTTGCTGTGTCAACTTTAGGAAGTCCATCAGTGAAAGTAGTTGGTCAATGAATGGTTTGGTTGGGATACTGAGTAGTGACGCGGTTCTGTTTGACTTGGTAGTGTTGCCAGAGTAGGGCACTTGTCAGGGTGTGGAGTTGTGTGCGGTCGTAGACTGGAGCATGGAGACCTCGACAAGTCGTAGTGGCTCTGCTCTAGGAAGTGGATGCGTGTTGTTGAGGCGTTGTTCCATCATATTCTGCTGTCCTGTTCTGTTGTAGTGGCCTTCCGTCGCGACCATGCAGTCTTCCAGCGAAAGGGGTACCAGAAGTCTGGGGCACATGCGCAGCAGCGGCTTTTCACTGATGGCCAGTGCTGGCGCAGTGACGTAGTCCTCGGCTTTGTTGTCCTTTGTGTCTTCCTTTGCCCTTTCGTTGGTAGTGTCCTTTCCTCCACAAGTTGTCCTCATCCATTACAGTTGCTGCCAATTGCTGACGAAGTATTGCCCAGAACGCCGGATCGTCCGGTACTATTCGATCGCCAGGTGATGCACTGAGGCGTCTGCCGGCATTGATCCAGCTCGCAGTTGGAGATGTCGTTGTAGAGCTCCTTTGGTTTCATTCACTAGTACGGCCATCTTGACACTGTCCGGTAGTGCTAACCCAACTGTTGCGCTCGTACCTATTGATGTCGTATTCCCACTGTAGGAATTGTTCTCCAACTGTTGTTCGCTGAATGAGGGCTTCAGTGTGGTCAAGTGGCCAGCACTCCTTGTACCAATTGGCAAGCTAAATCTGTTGTTCTGAAGGCGTAGAGTTTCGCAACCATTGTCTGAGTAGCGGCTGGGGCTTGGCATGTGCTGATGATTATGCAGTGCAAATTGCGTGCTAGGTTGACGAGCTTGGTGCCTCTAGTAGTGTTTGGAGGTATTTTAGCTGCCACCTGATCCATTGTGGATGTAGCTACGTCCGCAGTAGTCCCGTGTCGAACTTGTTGTCGACGAGTTAGTTTGAAGCGCCATTCGTCGCAGTTGGAATGCTTGCCATTGAACTTGTGCAGTCTTTGCAGTAGGACGACAACAGTAGCACCACAGCATGCCCAACTACTACGACATGACAGGAGACCATGCAACCGCATCAGCAGGAATACCCACTGAACCTACGGCGCAGCAACAGCACAGAGCGACACCTGCCACTGCAGCAGAAAAACAATGGGACTACAACAGCGACTGGTCACGCAACGTACAGGAGAGAAAGAGAGAGAGAGAGAGAGGAGAGAGCGAGAGTCAGGAGAGTAGAGACAGGGAGAGAGCCGTTAAAATCGGTTGTTACTTTGCTTACAAGTGCAAGTGCTGTAGTGTTCAAACAAACAGTCAACCGATGTAGTCTGCAGCTGCCAACCTTTTCACTCATGCGAAGTAGTGAGCTCAAGGCCTGCAGTAGTGAACATACATGCAACACAAATGCAGGAAGTGAAGCATGTAGTTTGACACGGCCCCTCAGTTAAAAGGTCTTTGTAGTACCTTTTCAACTGAAGTGCAAAACATGGATTGACAGTAGTGATGAAAACCATTGTTGTTCATCAATTCTACGGTATTTGCAAAAGTAGTGACCTGCGCTCAGTAGTTCACGCTGTTCAGGTTCCAGCTCGATGTAGGGCGCTGGATGGAAGTAGTGAGGCAGGCACTCGTTGTAGTGGAGCATGAGCTCAAAGATGCAGTCCCCATTTCTGGGCGCGATAGTCTTGGACCATCTGGAGTCTGTTGTGCAAGGTCGCGTAGTAGTGTATGGTGAAAAATGTTGTCATGTAGTTTGGAGCTCCCCGTAGTCGCTCGTCGTCTATCTCAGGGCACGACATGTGTTGGTCGTACTCCCTGAGAAAGCGGTGTAGTAGTGCTTTGTGATGTTGAGTGAGGTTTGTCATGGTGAGTAGTGTGAATCCGTAGTACTGGATTCTCTTGCAAAGGATGGTAGTAATTGCCTTGTGCTGAAAGTCGTGTAGTTGGTCTCTTTTGTAAAGGTAGTGGAGTAGTTCAGGTAGTAGTAGGGGCATGTGGTAGTTCCAAAGGTAGTTGTTCCTGAGGCTGTAGTTGTCGGTGAAGGTGGTCATGTTGTAGTTCACCTTGTGGATGGTCTGTGGTATTGGTGTTTTCGGGAGGTAGTAGTTCTGTTGTATGGACATCATGTAGGAGATGTAGTCCCTTGTGAAGTGTAGAAATTGTCCTGAAGTGAGGTACCTCAGGAGTAGTGGTTGCTCAATCTGCAGTTGGATGATGACGTAGTTGGTGTTGTCGCTGGTTGTAGTGTGGAGTGAAGTCGTGTGGTAGTAGTGGACGTTGGCTGCTTCAGGTAGTGAAACGCTGAGCAGTGTGGAGTTGTAGTGGGGCA